CATCCCCTTCATTCATCCCAGTCCTGGAAGGTGCAGCAGGCAAGGAGAAGGTCTCCCAGGCTGAACCCCCCTGTTCCTGCTCCCCGTCCCGAACGGAGGAGAGCTCCGCTCCCAGCGACGTCTGCCTCCCCAGATTTCACTTGAACTTTCCTGTCGTTTAAATGCTTTCCAGCATTTTCCTATTTCCTTTGGAAGGTGAGAGGGGTCAAGTGGAGGTCACGGTGACCCCCGGCGGCTGGGGGGTTCCTGGTGGGACAAGCCCCATGGCCTGTCTGTCTGTAGCACAGAGCCGGGGCCGGGGGGAGGGGGCAGCGCTGGCGTGTGCGTGCTCACTTCCCGACAGCTGACAGCGAGTCATTTAAAGGGGTCCCTGTGGTTTTGCACAGGTTAATTACAAGAGTCCCCCTCTGCAACTGTAGATCTCCCCCCAGACACAAAGTACCACCCCCCCCACAGTCCAGGGGAACAGCTGCACAGCCCTGCCCCAATGTCTGAAGCCTGAGCTCTGGTCTGCAGCGACTCTGCTTGGACACAGAAGAGGAGCCCAGATCCAAGTCATCAAAAGCCTCAGAGGGCTTGACAGACTCAGCTTGGTGTTGCACTTCACAAACAAGAGCCAGCAGGTGAGCTCGAGGACACAAGCGGGAGCTACATGACAGTAGAACTGAGCCATGTCTTTACACAAAGGATTGCAGGAGTCTGGAACGGCCAATACCCAGATTCTAGCGAGAAACAGCTTTGAGGTCCTAAATGTTTCTTACCTACTCACAGAATTACACAAATCTGCTTTTCTCTGACATCAGTAACCTGCACAACACTCTGTAGCTGGCAAAACCAGGAGTGGATCAGACTGCTGCGCACTGGGAGTCTGATTGACAGCACTGTCACACCTGGAGTGGATCAGACTGCTGTGCACTGGGAGTCTGACTGACAGCACTGTCACACCTGGAGCGGATCAGACTGCTGCGCACTGGGAGTCTGATTGACAGCACTGTCACACCTGGAGTGGATCAGACTGCTGCGCACTGGGAGTCTGACTGACAGCACTGTCACACCTGGAGCAGATCAGACTGCTGCGCACTGGGAGTCTGACAACACTGTCACACCTGGAGCGGATCAGACTGCTGTGTAATACAGTATGAGTCTGAAAGTCTGTTTAGTCATTTCCAGGGAAACAGGGTTACCCAGCAGAACAGAACAGGGAAAAGGACTCAGTCACATAGAACTTCCTTCTGCTGATTCTCACAGGAGCTCTCTCCACAAGGGCCCAGACGGACAAGACATCCCTCCTCTCCTTTCTTGCCTTCTATCCTTCCCACAGTGTGGGTGCGAACAGTATGCTCCTCTCTGCTGTCCTGATGTGACAGGCGGCTGAAACTCTCCCAAAAAAACACAGACCGGCTAATCCGAAAATACACATGTGCACATCAACGCAATGAGTATTTAAACATACCACAAAGGTATTCTGTCCAAAACATTACATAATCCTTTGTACCAGAAACCTTGGAAAGGTAACAGCAACCAATCTGGAAGGAAAATTTCTCCCAACAAGCTTTGAAGAGAAAATGAAAAATAAAATTAAAATACCATACATGCTATATGGAGCACCAAGGAAATTCCCTTCTGACACATCCTTTAAGCTGAACGCCTGTGCAAGCTATTAAACCTGTAACAGAGATCTCCCTGCTGATCGGGCACCTGGAGATGACCAGCAGAGATCGCCTGGGCCGAGCTCCATCCTCAAGGCTCCATCTGACTGATCGTATTACAGCAGATTTGTAGCGGAGGAGACATGTACCGGAGGAACAATAACAGTAATTAATACATATAATAACGCTGTGCTCTTCAGAGTTATTCTTAAATATCTACGACTGAGAAAATAAACCGACAAGGCACCTTTATTTACATATCAACGGTCTTATATTATTATTTTCAAATGTAAAACTTTAATCATAGAAAGCTAAAATAAACAAAAAGGCAGACTTCCCCCGGAACCCGACAGAATTCCCAGGGCAGAATTCCCAAAGCGGAATTTCAAGAATGCTCTCGGAAATCGGATTCAGGATTCCGGGCCGACGATTTCTCACCACATCCTGGATACACACTGATCCAGACGCGGGGCAAGAGGGGGGCAGCGGGAGAGGGGATAGAGGGAGACACAGGAGGGTACCCAGAGAGGAAAAAGAGGAACAGAGACAGAACTCCTGGAGAACACAGGGAGAGACGGGAACAGCTGGATCTTCACTCCAGACCCCTGCCGACAACACCAAAGACAAGGGCTCACTGGTTCTTCTAAAAGTTATTCGCTGCCCTGCAGATATAACAGCAATTGTAATTCATGGCACGCGAGCTCTCCACAGAAACAAGTGGGGTGCCCCATGTTGTGTGACCTGAGAGATGGGGTGCACCATATGCAGTACACCCCAGACCCTGCGCCCCTCACCTGGCACTCGGATCTTGAACTTGCCGCTCTGCCCGAAACCTCCCTCGATGACCCCCGTCTCCCCCGTCGACAGCGTGACCTTTAACCCCACAAACAGCTGAAGGTTGGTCTCCTTTTTGAAGAGGTTCCGGCCGATCACGGTGTAGTCGTCAGTCACCTGTGGGGCAGCAGAGACAGACCTGAGCAGTGGGTGGGGGGAGTAGGGCAATTCTGCATACAAAACCCAACCACAATAAAACCACCCCTCGCACAGAGCAGCATCCGAGTCAGGCCCTGCATGACACACACCACCCTGGACAGACAGACTCGGCCGCTTGCACCTTCTCCACTCTGTACTTGGTGCAGCATCGTATCCCTGTCACGTGTGTCAAAGCTGGCCAGCTCGATACACTGAACACGCTACGCAGCCACACCCTGAAGAGCACCCCCGTCACAAACACTGGTGCCTCTTTCAGTCTGGACTGGGTCGGGCCAGACCCTCCAGCTCGCGGCCTGCTGTCGTCTGCCTCGCTGGCATGCTTCACGTGCTCTGTGCTTATCTCCACGCCTCCCCGCCTCTCTCTCCATCGGGCCGCGTGACGCACCGGTCTCAAACTTGCCGATAAGGACGTCACACGCTTTGCCATTTCAAACATAAATAAACATCAAAAAGGCAAAAAAAATTCAGAGAACACACATTCGCATGCCTTCCTCCTCCAGCCTGGACCGGCAGCTACCCGGCGCGGCCGGGGCTCGACCCAGGCGCTGTCAGACTGCGTGTCTCTCCACTTCCTAGACGCTTTACTGCTGTGCGACTGCTCCGCCCTCTGCAGGCTGCCCTCAGCTGTGCAGGGACCGCTCTTCATCAGCCTCCTGCATCGCCAGTATTCACTAACTATCCCTGCCAGGATCGCAAAAGCACATCTGTCCAAAATCACTACACTCCCCCCCCCGCCCCCCAAAACTCACACTGCTCCTGCGTTCGCACCCTGCTCATCTGCTGAGGAACCGCGCGGCGGTTCAGGGTGTCTGAGAGCGACCTGCATCGCGCCAGAGGCTGAACGTGGGAGCGGAGACTCGGTGTCTCCTCGCAGGGAGGCCGGGGGGCCCGGAGATGAAAGGCGGCAGCGCTAGAGACTGGTCTAAAACATCCACAAGACCTCCCGGTCTCGACAGGTCCCAGGCTAATGGGACGGCTGGCGGCGCCCCAAGACGAGCAGACAGAGCAGAGACAAGCTCCCACCCAGGGGCAGCCGCTGGGACTCATCCGCAGGGCCGTGACAGAGAGGGGTCTGCCGGACAGCCGACCGCGCGGCCCACCTGACCTGGCGCAGCGAGGCGCAACCACAGGACGTCTGGTGCTCTGGGGGGGCTGTTTGGTTCCTCCGCTCCCAGTCCCCGGCGGGGGGGTTGCCAGAGCTCATCGCGATATCTCATCCACAAACCCGGCTCCCAGCGAGAAGCTCAAGCTTGGTTGTGGTTCCTGACTCTCCGGCAGGGAAGAGAGCCGACGCCCACGAGCGCCAGGAAGGTCGCAGCTGATGAGCCCCAGAATCTCCACAGCTCGGCCAGCCCGCTTGTCCCAGAGCCCTGGTCTCCCGGGCAGACCCAGCGCCGGCTCCGCAAATAGAGCAGGAGCCGGCTGTGCGCGACACGCTACGCGCAAACACGCGTGAGTGATGTCTGCAGACCTGCAGCAAGGAGACAGGTCCCCCAGAGCAGGATTGGACACCCAGTTCCCGGACCCACAACCCCCAGAGCTCGAGAGGATCATGGGAGAGACCAGGCCGAAACAAGTCCCTGGCGCTTATAATCTCGTGCGACTGGACATACTGTTCATACAGGAAGGGGCCCGTCTCACTCTGTCTCACTCTCCGCTGAACTGCTGCCCCGCCCAGGTGACACACCGCTGCCCTGGACACCCACTGAGGTCAGGGGAGCTGCAGGGAGGCCAGACGGAGGGCAGCGGCACCCCGAAGCACCCCGAACCGCAGCCTGCCTGCCAGCCCAGCCGGGGCCCCAGTTCAGACAAGGTGACACCCCAGTGCACACGAACAGAGGAGGGTGGGGAGGCAGGGGGGACACCGACAGAGCAACAGGGAGGCAGACCGAGAAGCCGGCCAGGAGAGATAAGCCCAGGCAGAGGAAGATGAGAAGATACGGGGAGCGGGAGGTGGACGGGGAACAGTGGAAGACAGGAATGCCGAAAATGAAAACAAAGCAGGGGCCGCGGAGTGTGAGGCTCTGCTCCACCACCTTCCTGCCCCGAGCTGGAGGTGTGTGGGATTCCTGTGCCAGTCAGGTGTGTCCCAACAGGTGCGGGCGCAGACAGGCGGGCGGGCAGCGCCGGCGTCAGGGAGCCAACAGCCCGCGGGCCTGTGCACTGCCCCCCCCACCGGCCCACAGCACGTTCAGGCCGTCCCGGGCCCACAGCGCCCACAGAACCCCCGGGCCTCTGCGGAGCTACAGCCGCTCCTGCAACAGTCCGATTCAAACCTCTCAGACCCGGGACGAGCCTCGAGGATTCAAGAGGAGGCGAGCCGGCACTGCGGAGGAGGAGGAGGAGGACAAAGACACTGAGGCTGGAGAGAGGTGGCAGAAACTCGCTCACTTAGCTGACAGACGAGCTCCACTGGAGAAATAATCCCAGAGCACCCACCCTCTCCACCTGACCCTCCCTCTGCTTGGTCTTGTAGATCCGCAGACGGGGCAGCTCGGTCTCGGCGTACCCCCGGTCCTCGAAGCCGCACAGCAGGCGCCCATGGAACGCCAGGCGGCAGGTGTTGGCGTGGATGTCCGTGTCCAGCTTGGAGCCAATCACCAGGCAGAGCGGCGGGCACGTGACCGGCTTCTCGAACTCCAGCAGCGCCCACTGCTCCGGGTCAGGGGCCTCCCCCGCCGCCCCTGGCTGGCCGGTCACGTACTCCTCCTGGAAGAGGTAGTCCCTGTCGAAGGAGAAGCTGTGGGCGGGGCCTGCCTCGGCGGGGGCGGGGCCTGCCTCGGCGGGGGCGGGGCCGAAGAAGGTGACCCTGGCCATGACGGTCTCGTGGCCGATGGTGATGTGGAACTTGCTCCGCGTGGGCAGCGCGCCGCGGTAGTACCCGATCTTGCGCACGGAGACGACGGCGGCGTGCAGCGTGCGCAGGGACTCCGGGGTGCACACCACACCCCGCTCCAGCAGCTTGGGGTCGAACTGCGTCACGCACACGCCCACCCTGTCTCCCTGCATCGCCCGGCTGACCGCCCTGCGGAACATCTGCAGCGATTTCACCTTCCGGGTCACCTGGGGGGGAAGGTGGAGAGGGAATGAGCACTTGTAGACCTTCCTGTAGCACACCGTTACCTACAGGAGCACGTGTCCCCGGTGGGGTCTGTACTGTAGGGGGGAACAGGGGTACGTGTCCCCAGTACTGCAGTCTCTACTGTAGTGGGGTACAGGGGTACGTGTCTCCAGTGGGGTCTGTACTGTAGTGGGGTACAGGGGTACAGGCAGGAAGGTGCTGCTCTCCAAGAGATCTACATCCATCTCCAGAATTAAAAGCCGAACGCACAAGTCGAGGACAAGGTAGGATTAGCCTGCGGCTCCATGCCTGTCCGTTACCGTGGAGAGGAATTAACTGCTCCAGATGTCACTGCCTCACCTGCACAGCAAAGCTGCTCCCTGCACTCACAGACACACACACACCGCACAGCCATGTGAGACAGCAAAGCTACTAAAATGAACATAAAGTCACCAATGTAACAACACACTCACTGACTCACACATATATGTACACTAACACCCACAACCTGATGCACACTACTAACACACACTTGCTGACACATTCACAGACGCACCCTGACAAACACACTGACACACTTACACACACTAAGACACACTCACTGAGGCACAACAGACAGGCCCCATTCTCGGCAGGTAATTTTCTCTGTGCTCGGTCGTTCTGCGGTGACAGAGAGACGAAGAGAGGTGAGGGTGAGAGTGTGGGAGCAGAACGAGCCACAAGCCCTTTTCAAAACAAGTATCTGCTGCCACCCAGTGACAGCTCTGCAGAAATACATCCAGAGCTCATTCAGGGTGGCTGACCTGCGAAACGCACCTTCATCACAGTGCCAAGAACTACAATCGTTTTTTGTAGAAATTCGCGACCGAGACAGACAGACAGACAGACGCAGGGACCAGTCACGGTCCCACGGGCTCTGTCTCTCAGTCCAAGAGGCTGTTAGAGCTGCAAGCACAGAGTGTTGGAATGCATCTGGTCTGAATTAGCAGGGTGCCGTACGACAACCCCCCCCAGTTAAATCTCTGTCAACTTCTGAACTTCCGACAAGCCTGGGTCAGCCCTGCTGCCCCAGCCCATTAGGAAACACATTACAGCAATCTAATTAGGGCTGCAGACCAAACAATCACACACACACTGCCATCTCCAGAACCACACACACAGGAGTACTGGTATAGCTGACGAGTACGCACACACACACACAGGGGCACTGGTATAGCTGACGAGCACAGACACTGGCATCACTGACCAGCACAACCACAGAGACACACACCCACTGCACAACTGACACCACTGGCAAGAGAATGGGCCCAACAGACAAGAGGCCCGGGACTAAATAGTCCCACTACTGGTGTGCACTAAAGAACAAAGAAAGAACCTGCGCGTTTGTTCACTTGAACGAATGAAGAAACCACAGTACCTGTGCACTGCTCTTTCAAAACCCAGCCCACCCAAGCCACTTCTCATCTGTTACCACTGAGCTCCAAGGACCCTGTTGTCACCGGACACACGTGGCCTGACAGAGCCCGGGCGCGCTGCGATGAGGAATGTGATTTTCAGCGATCGGGAGGTCAGGGGGACAGCGAGAGACGCCCAGTCGCTCGTCTGGCAGTCTGAGCTGCAGAAGAGCGGAGGGGTGGGGGGGATTTTAAGCTCTGCAGTGGAACAGCACCGGGCTGTAAAGCCTGTCCTTTCTCTGAGGGACAGAGAACCCCTCTGACTTGAGTAAATATTTTTGTAACCCAATTGAAACATAAATGAAAGTGACCCCATCCGCACCCTCTCCCTTTAAACCTGCCCGCCGGTCAGAGGCCTGTCTGTGGCGGGTGCTGGAGTGATTACTGGCTGGTCTGTCGCTAATGGGGTCGTGCACTCTCCTCACTCTTGGCCCTGGCCAGCAGGGTCGGGCTCTTTCCCTCCCACGCTTACCTTCAGGGCCGGGATCTCGATGCCGTCGTTGAGCGACACTGCCCCCTGCAGGACAGTCCCCGTCATGACGGTGCCCTGCCCCCTGATGGAAAAGCAGTGATCCACCGCCATGAGGAAGGGCCCCGACGGGTCTCTGTGAGGAAGGTATGCCTGGGCCTTCAGCAGCTGGGTGGGGTGACACAAGGGGATGGGGGGGTCACACCAGATCAATGGCAATCCATTACAGCCCTAAATAAAGAATGCATCTCTCTTGGCCTGCAAATACATATTTTTTAATTTTTGTATTTTACTGAACAACTGTCAGCCCCTGGTGTACCATGAGTCTTATTCTTACATTCCTTTCTAAGAATTTGCTTGTTTGTTCCCCTTCACAACTAGATAACAAATCTTAAAAGTCTGTGCATTATTGTTTTTTTCCCTCCCCGCTTGCCATACCTCGATGAGCTCAGGCACTCCCTGGGGCAGCTCGGTGTCGGGGGCCTCAGGACCCCCCGGCTTGGCTGCCACAGCGATCACAGGGCAGCCCTGGAATCTGCCCGAGAAAATAAAATAATTAAAAACGCAACTTAAATTATTAAGAGAGTACATCAGCGTTTGTCCCTAGGTAGATTACAAGCGCAGTTTAACATGTCCAGGATATCTGCAAAACTGGAAGGTCATGTTTTCTAGAAGTTGAGCCTCAGTCCACCACAGGAGGATCCGAGAACACCTGAGCCCGGCAGTACCTGGTGTTCTCCAGGGTCTTGAGCATTCTCTTGGTCATCTTGTCGATGGTGGCCTGCCTCTTGGCCGCAGGGAGCAGGTCAGTCTTATTCAGGACGACCACCATGCGTGGACACGTCATCTCCCCGATCACCAGGCACTCCGCCGTCTGCGTCTGCACGCCCTTCGTCACGTCCACCACCAGCATCATCAAGTCGATGATCTGGGCACCTGGACACAGGTAACACACACACACCACTGAAACACACCTGGACACAGGTAACACACACACACCACTGAAACACACCTGGACACAGGTAACA